GGGGGGGGGCATGGGAGGGTCCCAAGCGCACTCAGCAGCACCTGGAAGTGGAGTGGAAGTAGCCCTCCCCCAAATGCACTCCTGTGGGATGTTCCATTCACCCCAGCATCTCAGTGTTCACAAGCTACACCTGGTACCTCGAGGTACCAGGAAAAAAAACATATAAAAGCTGCGTCTATTTCCGAACCGCTGATTCTCCAAATCAGAATTGAATCTTCAGATTCAGCTCAAATCGAATTGGGACAGTAATCTGAATCCGCAAATTGAATCGCTGTCCCCCAAATCGAATACTGCCCACTTCACACACCCCTACAGTTCTGCACAGATCACACAATAATTAAGATTTCATGGACAACAATCAGTACATTACATTGTATGTTCCATTTTCACGTGCGCATGCACTTAATTTGGACATCCACCAAAATTTTTAAAAATTATACTAGTTGTTTATGAAAGCCTGAAACCTAGGAAGAACAAATCCCAACAACTTGTTTAGTTCAGTAACTTGGCAGCGAAACCTAAAAGTGTGTGCACTAAACTGTCAACACTAAAACAGCAAAGCAAAATACAACTGGCACCATCTGAAATTCAAGTGTGAAAACTATATTTGGTATGATCTCTACACTAAGAAAAAAAATCAGGTTGCCTGCAGTTGTTCTTTAATGGCATGCTGCACAAACCCATTCTCTGTAGGTCCTGTGAATTTACACACCAAAACAATGATCCTTCATCAACTTTTGGTGTCTCACAAACCTTGGCAGCAGGGAGATTACAAGTACTAAAACGTTTCACAGTGGTCAGAAACTTCAAAACATTCACTGTTCTTGTTTGACGTTTGTGTAATCTGAACTTCACTGTCAACATTTTATTGTGACCAGTTTGGCTTATGTTGAGAATTTACCTCTGAAAACAAACATCTAAACTCACGCTTGACAAGATGGCATCAAAATATTTCCTCAGTTGTCAGGGGTAGACTTGCATTTTTCTCAACCGTGTAGTGAATTAGGGTCCTTGTGATTTCTCTGGTCATACCGCACTCCTACAAAAGGGCTTAGGTAAAAGTGATCCTATTTGTTTCCTGGTAGGCTGAATACTGTCATTTACATTAGTACACCCTTAAACTACTACAAAGACCAGTTATATCTGCCTCTACAATTAGATACATAACACTTTCAAATCCAAGTCGCCATAAATACCAGTAACAAGAGCGGGATCATAAAACCAGCTTATCTGCATATGGCATTTTTAGCACTATGACCTTAACAAAATATTAAAATTTCTACAATAAGCAGCACCGGAATGTGTGAAATAATTGCATTAAATCTACAGGCACTGAAAACTATACTTTTTTTCTTTTGATTCTTGATTGTTCCCCTCCCCCAAAGTTCCAACAAGTGAGCAAAAATCCCTTTATTTTCTTCAAAAGAATGCACCTTCCAAGCACCTCATCCTATAATTGTAGAGCAAATTGCTTAAGACTTCTGTCCTCTGCAATTTGGCATATTTGAATCACAAAAGAAAAAAAAAACCCAAGCCATAAATTAATATGGGTTCATTATTTTTCAGAGTGTTTCTTTTCTCATTTGTAAGTGGAATATTACTGTAACTTTGAGCAATGTCAAGAATTTCACCAACACTGATAAGGCTCTGTTTGCTCAGCTAAGAGAAAGCAAAATCCTGAGAAAACGAGAATACCTTCCTTACTCTGATGGGGAAAGAAAAGCAAAATTATAATCCTGTAGATTTTAAGGGGGGGGGGGGGAAATCACTCTACAGAAAACTAAACCAAAATGTGGTGTCAAAAGGAAATGCAAGCAAGTTGTCTGTGTTTTAGAGTACTGCTGAAGTATATGAGCAAGATACTTCAACGCTGCTTACTTCTGGAGAATGGCCAGCTCAACAAGCTCTCCATGTCAGATGATTCAACACCTCATACAAATAATGCCTCTTTCCTAAAAAACATGGGTTCCTTTCAGGGAATTATAAGAGAAGAAAAAACTCTTGAGAAAGCCTCCTGAAGCTGCTGAAAACAATTTGTGGTTATATATTTTTTTCCAGATACCTCAACTCCTTGTTTTCCTTGTTCTTTTCAACCGCCTTTGAAAGCAATTTGTCATCTTTTGTACTTACCTGACACTAGAGAAATGCGTAAAACCACAGGCAGCTGCTAATAAGCCTATTAAACAGTACAAATGTTACAAAATAACATTAAGAAGAAATGATTTTGTACTGAAAGTAAAATTAGCTATCTGATACCAGGAGTCTTCAGCTATAAATACAATAGGGTATAATTCTTACCTTTGTGCTTGGGTGCTATAGCTGTTATCATAGGAATCATAACTTTGCTCATCATAAGCAGTGCCATATCCATCATCATACTCCTGCAAGCATAAAACAAAAACATAATTTACAACACATTCCATAACCTTAAAGAAAAAATGATAAATACTAATACCACTATCTACTGATATCTAAATTTATGCAACAAAATGGTTTGTGGTTTTAATGGTGGCCTTATTTTTACTCTGAGTTATTAAACGCATTGTATTTTATGGTTACTTACCACAGAGAAACTGTGGTTCTGCAAAGGTCTACCTCTCTGTATTAAGATCTGAAGGACCCTTCCCCCCTCTAGCATCACAACATTTCAAGAACCTTCTGAAAACCACTTCTACTTTGGAGCTTTTCTGGTACCAAACATCTGAACTTCAAACTATGGAAATGACCAAACAATCCCAAATGCCTTGGCCTTTGACACAACATTCACAACTACTCTAAGTGTCAGACAGTCCAGTAACAGAGCCAACACCCTTAAAAAGCCATGGCTCCTTTATTAAGCAGGCATTTTACTTCTTTAAAATAGCCTCCAAATATTCTTGCTTGTTTGAGTCTAGTGAACAGCAAAACACTTTGGAAGGTAAGCTGGATTCTAATTAAACAACGGATTGGAAAACTGTCTGCCCAAAAGAAACATCAGATCTACACGATAAAATCAAGAGCAGAGCCACACAGATAAATGTGCACAACTCCAGATTTGGTGGGGGGTGAAGAATAACAAAAGCTATGTGTGTGATATTGTCTTACCCTGGTAAAGTGAATTCTAGGTCTGTACAGAACCAATGCTAGCTAACTTTCACCACAATACAATGTAAAACTTCATCCATCTTTAACAAGTACCAACTAAAAACTGCATTCCCTTTGCTTTGATGCTCCAGAGTTTAGGAATCGATAGCTTTCTAAAGGCTTATTCTAGCTAAATAGCTCAAAGGTCTTACTTGGTTCTTAGGGTATCCAATACAGTTTCCCCAAGAGAAAAAACAAAGCTTTGAGAAGACACATAGGAGACAGATGATCTGATTATATGCAGTTCAGATGCCTCACTCAGTATAAAATCTGGAGTAAAGATAGAGAATAACTCATGCACTCTCCTATAGATGTAACTGCAATTAAAATGGTACTGATAGAGATAAATGGAGCAAAGCAACCTTTCAAAAGATCTGAAAGCACACATTAATCCTGTCAACACAACATTAAAGTTAGTAGTATAGGTTTTCTACTGGCCGGAAAACACCAGATCCATAAGAGGAATCTTCTGATGACAGGAAGCTGAAAACCCATCCAGGAGATGATAAACTAAAAGGTATAGGCAGAATACCAGGAAAGGCTAAATGCAATATTCCATAATCAGTTAGATGGGGATGGCACTTGGTGACCAAATATCTGATTCCCATAGACAGAACATTTTCTGAAGATAATGGTTCCAAACAAATGGCTTTCTAGACTGTAGCAGAATATTACAGAATAATATTCTGTACCAGAAGTGGTCAAGCAAGATCCTTTCAGCTGAATAATGGATGAAAAGTGATTCCACACGAGTGGAACAGATGGCATATCTGATGAGGCATGTAGCCGTGGTAGTGTCCCAGGAAATCTAGGGGGATTCATGTACCCATACCATGTAGCTCGCACTAGAGCAGGCAGCATAGTCTAAATCTGTTTTCCTGAACCTTTCTTGACTACCATTGATATTAGTGGAAAGGCATAAAAGGAATCCCTTGGCCGAGCCTAGCGGGACTGTGTCTGTGACAGTATTTCCCTTTTTCCTATGAAGCAGAAGCAAGGGTTCTTCACAGCATTGCATGCTGTGAAGCAGTTTATGACCAGATGGGCCCAATCCTCCAAAAGCAGGTTCAGAGTCTCTTTCAAAGACCACTTGCATTGTTCCTGCAAGACTGAGCAGTGTGTTAGATGTTTTCTTTCCTTGTCAGATGACATGAGCTGCCCCAAACACCAATCCCACAGGGCAACTGCGTCCCGACAGTTATGGCAGACAAGAGCCTAACGATTTACTGATGCAGTATGCAGGCATCTGGTACCAACATGACTATTGACCAATGGCAGAAGAGACTTCAGAGCCACACTATTAGCTCTTCTGCAGAATATAAATAGTGTCGGATCTTCTCCAGATCCCAAAGCATCAGCTATCAGCTCCTGGTGACATGCTCCCAAACCCCAAAATATCTGCTTAACGTGATAAGCCAAAATACTAAGGAGAGAGGACTGAAATAAACTTCCTTCATTACATGATCAGGGGACTTTTACTATTGGAGGGTCACGGAAAGTTTTGGAAAGCTAATAGAGAGATCTCACACCTGACCCAGAATAGGAAGGCAGGGACAGAAAGAATAATCTTAAAAGAAAAAAAAGGGCAGCAGGCTAAGATACCCTGCATCTTAGACCTCCTATGGCAATCAAATAAGCCTCAAAGTGGGATGTGGTCTGGGGGAAGAGTATGGTTTTGTCTCTACAACAAGGAAGACCAAATGTGAGGTTAGTTCACTTTAATCTCTCTCCATCAAACAATAACCACCAAACTTGGTTCAATATGCTTCTAGTATTATCATCTCTTGCAGGCTATATTGTTATGTCAATTTTGGCCGTCAGCAAAGACAATACAAAAGGACTTAAGCAATACATTTCCTTTCCAAGTTTCAGTATACGGTACTTTTCCACCGTGTGGTTTTCTTTTTCATTGGTAGCTTTACCACTTCTCTGGTTAATGATACCAGACTTGTTTCATTTTCATAAGCTTCTTAAGTAAATCAGTCACCAGTTCATTTATAATCCACTATTTAAATGTATCAACCTACTTCATCTTCACAACAAAGCAACAGGATAACCCATTCAACCAAAACAAAAGGAACAGATTCAAGGTAAACTATGAAGTCACGTGCCCTCTCTTTCTCTGGTCTAATACACCCTTATTATATAAAAGACAGGAAAATAATATATGCAAAATAGTAAAATACTCAAATCCAAACTTCTTCTCCCCCCGCCCCAACAGATTCGCCTTAAAAAGAAACCAAACATGACCAGTTTAAGTATGTTTTAAATTTTTCCTACAATTAAGTCTGGCATCTTATGTTGTCATTTTCTCTATATTTGGAAAGTATTTAAATGCTGCATGTTTAATGCGACTTGGCCAGTGTTGCATGTAACCCTCTAGTTTAAATTTTAGATAAGTCTCCATAATTTGAATACTTAGGGAAATTAGCCTGCAATTTATTTCTGAAATGAACTTGTAGTTCTCCAGAATGTCTTTTTTAACATTGTTTATAAAGCATCAATGGGCAGTACACGTTTGGCCATCTAATAACATGCATTATCCTAAAATATTGTGATCATTTACATGAACATAAGTAACCAACTATTGTGCTGGATTACATAGTAGAAATCCGATGAAGAGTTAATTATGTTAGTAAAGTATTTGTTTAAAGAGTTTCAGTGCACTACTGTTCCAGTGTATAAAAATCTTTTTTTTTTTTTCTTGCAGGGTGGGAAGGGAAGGGAAAAATCCCTCAGAACCAAAGATGATGCCGTTTTCAATTTTCCTTGTTCAAGTTACAACATCGTCCTTTTAAACCAGGAAAGAAGATGCATGACTTCTAGGGGGAAGCAAGCCAACTCCAGAAACGAGTTACACATTTATTACAGAAGCACCAGTTGCTTCCAACCTACCAAAAGGTTAAGGACCAAGAGGCTCGTCTTTCATCTTCTGCATGATAGCTTGTTCTGTTGCCAGTTTACCAGGCTAACCTATATAATTCATTCTTCCCAGAATCATTTGTATAAAACAGAAAAGACTTTAAAGCATGCTGCATACACTATACACAATAATACACATCTATAAATGATACAAATCACTTTACGAACTGAAGTGTATTCTGGATAGCACTTGAACCATAAATTGGAAGGGGGCAGTTTTTCGATTTTCTTCTATAGGAATTATATATGGATTATCTTAAAATTCCTAGATGGGAAATCTTCTTTAAAGGGATTAGACAGTTTTCACGTAAAGTGTCCGTGAAACGCACGTAATATGTTCTTCCTCGCCTCACTGAGGCAGCGTCCTTAGACAAGAGGCAATGTTCAAGAAAGATTTGTAACATTGGTGGACGGTTCTTGGAGGGTGAGGAAAGCTAGAAGGACAGGGCGTAGTGGCATTACTAACAAGTGTCCCAGTGCAAAGTGTAGGAATTTACAATAGGATGAGGCGAATCAGCTAGGGTAGAAGCAAGAATATTCTTGGAAAGGCAAGAGCCCTGAAGGGCAGGAACAGCCATTGCCCTTATGAAAGGATCTTATTATATTAAGCTAGCGCGTACTTCAAGCCACTATAGAACTATTAAGTTTATTGGCCAGCATCTAAAGCCAACTGGAGTCCTATCACTATGAGTGCTTACATACAGATTGTAGGTGCCTACTTAGAGGGATCATATTTCTATTTTTGTCTGTACTGAGACTAACACACTCCTGGCAGGTGCACAAGATTTTTCTCCCAACTGATTTATGAAAATGTGAAAAATGTTTTATTTTCTGGTGTAATCAGAAAGTCAAGAATGGATGATTGAGAAATAAAACTGAGTTGTAGATGTAATAAAATAAATGAATCCCCTCTAAGGTTAAAAGACCATGATCTCAAGTCCTGTCTTCTCACATAACCCTCTGAATTTATACCCACTTCCACAGGGTCACCTGCCAATTTGGTGAATGACTCCATGTGTGGCAGTTTTAGACCTGCTGCAGACACAATGCTCAGCATTGCCATTAAGAGATCTGCTAGAACTACCATGTTGCTGGTGGGAGTAGGGACCAAGTCTTGTGAACAATGAGGTTCAGAACTAGCCATTTCCAAGCCTCTTTGTTGACCTAAACTCATTTTGAGCTGAACAGCATAAGCGTAGAGCTGAAAACAGCATTGCTGCCCACGGTGTTTGATTAAAAACAGACACATGACTGGTGATTAGCACCAAGTGAATACGGGATTCTTCAGTCTAGAGACAAGCAAAAAATTAGGGAAAAAGAAGGTTTGGATTACAGT